GGGCTCCCAGGTTCAGCTTGCACAGGGCCCAAGCACGGTCCCCTCTACATTGCAGTAACACTGCGAAGGACTGTGCTGTCCCCAAAACCCCCAGCACCGCTCCTGAGCGGCTCCCAAGACGCTGCAGCGTAACCGGGCCGTCCTGCGCCCAGGCCGTTCCCTCCGGCTCTGGCAGTGGAAATAGGCAGTGGCCAGACACTGGAGGGAGACATTGGGTCGTCCCTTTGCCGCTGACGTGCATTGAGCAGCTAAAAAAATGCTGGTTTTCAGTAGTGAAAATAGGAGGTGACGTCTCCCTGGCAGCCGCGAAGCTCCGGCTGCTGCTCCTGCATCGTGCGCTTGTTGCCACTTCCCAGCCCTCCCCACGGCTGGCCCGGGAGCCAGGGCCACTGTAGGGACGGTGTGGGGTGCAGGCGTCGAGGGGCCGGTGGGTGAGGAGCTCTGTTCTGACACCCTGCTTCGGGCAGTGCCTGGGGCTCGTGCCCTGCTCACCCACTGCCAAGGGGCTTGACCCACCTTATCCAGTGCCCTCGTCTGGCATCGTTGTGGGACCCACATCCAGAAAAGCTGGAAGCCCACATATGAACCGCACATGCCAGCATCACCGTGGGCACGGTGCTGGGTTTCCTCTGCCGCTTCGTGGTCAAAGCCACGTCTGATCAAAACCTGCCTCCTTCCCCCATGTCCGCATCAGCACGGAAAGCAGGCTTGGGCTCAGGACCACTTTTGCAGAATAGACCCACCCTGAACCTAGCAGGGCAGAGAGGTGGCTGCATCCATGCTCCCCACAAGCCTTGCCCTCAGAGCAGCTCTTGGGCTCCCGGCGAGGGCCTGGCCTGGAGCAGGGGCCTCGAAGTCCCTGAGTCCCAAGCCGGCTCAGCTGTCACAAGGCCGGGGTGCAGCTGCCAGGCCAGGGATCCCCACGGCGCTGCCCCAAGGAGCAGTGGAAGGACGCAGGGGTCTGTACCTGAGTTCAGCGGCCCCACGCAGCCGGACCTGGGGGCTGAAACGCCTTGGCGTTGGGCAGCTCAGGGAAGCTTTCACCTAGGAGAAGCATCGCGAGAGCTACTTCCTGGGCACAGGGAAAGCAAAGGACTCCTTTCGAGGGAGGCAGAACGCGTCTCCTCCGTGGAGTGGACGAAAGTTACCCGGCAACTTTTACCTCTGTTACACAAAGGAAACTTTCCTCCTTTTTGTCAGAGATGCTCACTCCATTGAAATGATTGGCATACTGGAGAGCTGAGAAACTAAATTGTTTATACACTAATGAATAGAAGCTTGATTGCAAGATCCTGTTTGGAAAATTATAGTGCTGAATTGAAGCTGTACAATTACATCCAAAATGCTGCATATTCATTTCATCTGCTTTGCATAGAGATTAACAAGCGAGCCCTGAAGCAGACTCTGAAATTAAAGCTAACACCAGATTTAGTCACAGGTTACAAACTAAATGGCATTGTTTGATGGATATGAATCTTTACCACCTGCCTGCCTGATGATTGCTGCAGCTTACCAGACAGCAAAGGGAAAAAAAGTTTCTTCCCATAAAGGAAGCACAATAAAAATGCTGGATTGTAACCGTGTCCCCCCAGCCCTGAACGCGTTCACTTCTGCAGTGTGGCCCCTACAGCCAGCTGTCTTCCAGAAGCCTTGTCACCTACGTTTCTACAGGCCTTCTCCATCAGGAGAATGGAAAGGACAGTATTTTTCTGCGTGCTTGAATAAGAGACCTGCCCCCCTTCCACGGAGCTGTACAATATGGTCTCAAAATCCAGCTGGAAGGGTATCGAGACAACCAGTTCGATTGGAGCCATTTCCCGCGTGTCCTGTCTAAAGACCCCACTCGATCTGATCCCCGTGAAGTTCGGCGGGACTTCCCCGCAGGGCAGCGCAATGAGCTGGAGATGGGTTCGGACCGTTCCTAGAGCGGGAGTTTGCATTGGTCCCAGACGCTCGCCCATGCCTGCGGATGAGGGAAGAGCCCTAATTTGGGGGCAGGCTCCTGGTCTGCCCACACAACGCTCTGCCCAGCTAACAGGTGTGGTGCTGGGGGGTAGCTGGAGAGCAGGAAGCAGGATCCAGGTTGACAGGCCCATTCTGTGCTCGTCCCTCCTCCTGTCGGTGGCACAAGGGCTCAATAGTGCCAGCTGGGACATGGGCACATGTAGTACTCGCAGTCCTTTGCCATCAGTCACCAAGCAGCCAAGAGATGGGAACTGCTTGAAAGCATGGCCCGGGCTGGGCAGCTCAGGGGGAAATGATCGTGGTGGGGGCTCTACCAGGTGCCCTGGCAGAGCTTGATCCAGAGCCCATTGAAGTCAATGAAAGGACTTTGGACAGCCCTTATGCCTGACATAAACGTGCATGCATGTGCATGTCTGCACACGTGTGCACCTTGCTTCCCGGATGTGATGCTGCATGCAGACTGTGCAGCAGCCTGCCTCCTGTAGCCCCCCCATCAACATCTGCAGGGTGTGAAACCCACCCGGTGCTTTAGAGCCAGGCAGCACATGACAGAGCGGGTCTAGGGTGTGTGGTATCCTGGGAAAGAGGTGGGGGGGTTTGTGCCAGTTGCCCCATATAGCTTAGCCCCATCCTCATCCACTGCCTGTGTGCACAAGGCCCTCTCCGCTCACCCTGGAGCCGGACCAGCTCATCCACTGGTCCCTGTGCTGCGGGGAGGGGTGTCATGCTGCAGGGCATGCTGCTGCCTATGCCATGCCGTAGCATCACCTTGGCTTTTGTGGTGGCTGCCCCAGGAGGCCGGCGGGGTGGGCAGCTGCCCCAGGACGCTGGGCGCTCCAGGGCGTCGTTGGGATTGTGAGCACGGGCCGCGGTGCCGAGAGCAAGCACCTGCCGCTGCGGCTGTAGGCCGGGCAGTAGGGTGGGCTTGGGCGAGCTGGGGCTTGGCAGGGGTGCCCATGCTCTCGTGCCCAGGTGGGTGCTGGCCTGTGCCCTGGGGGAGCTCCCCCTCGCCCTCCACAAGACTTGATGCTCGCAGGGGTTGAGGCGAGGATTTGGGGCCTGTTCTGGGGGGAGCCTGTGCACCCTCCTCCTGCCAGGCAGCGAGGTGGGGCAGGGAGAGCGAGGAGGGCAACAGGGGCTTATTGTGGGGCTTCATTTCCGCTGCCTCGTGTCCGTCCTGAGAGCCCCTCTCTGCACGGGCCAGGCGCAGCCCGCCACACGTCGTGTCCCCCTCCCTGGGGCCAAGGGCCAGGGCCGTGCCGTGGGAGGGGACGTCCATCCTGCAGCTGTCGAGGGAAACCCGCAGCCTGCTTCCCACGGGGAGGCCTGGCGCGGGCAGGACGCTCGCTCTCCCGGCCTTGCCCCGGGGGGGGTGGCGTTTGCTGCCGAGCCGGTGGCTTGCTCAGGAGAGGGGGCACTTGGGAGACTTGCATGGGCAGCCTGGGGGGCTGCCCCAGCACAGACGTTGGCCAGCCTGGGCGCTCCGCACGTGCACCGAGCTCGCCAGGAAAGTGGAGCAGGGCTGACCCCTAGCGGCCCCGTCCTGGAAGCCTCCACGTGGCCACCAAGTGGCACGAGCCACGATGGGTCCCAGGCAAAGCGTGGACGCGGATAACTCCCCGGGACCTAACGTGGGGCAGGGAGCTCAACGGCCAAGGCTGGGATTTGGGGTGGCCCCAAACGCTCCAGTGTGAATTGGGGCGGTTGTCTGCTTTCTGCCCCTGTGGCCAGGCGCAGAGCAGAGGTGCAGAGCTCGGCACCCGGTCCTGGCTAGGCAGGGTGATGTGGGGCGTGGGCGGCATTGTGCCCGGCAGGCCCACGGCAGGCGGTCAGCCTGATGCACGCAGGCAGGGCTTGGCCTGGACGCTTGGCCGGGGTTAGCAGGCGCTGAGCGCAAGCAGGGGGCGGCCTGGGCGGGGGCAGCTCCGAGTCCGTGCCTTGGGCACCGGGCTGTGCTGGCGGCACATCCGGCGTCTCTCCTGCAGCCCGCCGATGCCAGTTCATCGGTGACATCCCAGCAACAGCGGGGAGAAGGCGGGAGCCTGTGTGGGCTGGACGGGTCCTTTCTGCAGCCAAAGCAAACCCTGATCCTGGAGGGGCCGAGGCCCAGGCCACATGCTCTTGAGAGCCGAAACAGGGGTGGAGGCAGCAACGTAAACCCCCCCAATGCCCAGGGCTCCTGCTGGACTCGAGCTCGGTGCCACGCTGGGATGGAAACAGCCCCTGGTCCAGGACAGCCGAGCTGAAAGGGGCCCTGGGGAAATCGAGGTGAGCGTCTGAGGCTGCAGCAGCTCGCAGGCCTGTGGCAGGTGCTGCCTCTGCAATGGGCTGGCCAGCACTGCCCGCAGGCCAGGCTAGCTCCTGCCTAGGTGCATCTGGCCAACATTGCTCCCACCCGCGTCCTTGCAGGGAGACCCAAAGCGCAGGAGCGGCGCTGGCTGCGGGCACCAAAGCACCGGCTGCAGGAGGAGCAGAGATGCAGCTTCCAGGGCAAGGTTCAGCAGGTAACGAGCAGAGGCGTGGCGGGAAGGGCGATGGCTTTGCCCTGCAGTGTTCGTTCCTGCAAACATCAAACACTTCTGGGTCTACCCAGCCTCCCCCTCACTCCTGGGAGAGAAAGGGCCAGGGCTGCCTTGTGCAAGACCCTCCCCGCTACTGTCTGAACCACGCTAGCAATGCCCTGCTACCTGCCGCGCAGTTCTGCTGACAACGACCCTGGGAACAGCCCAGCTCCATCACTTGAGTTGCACGGGAGGGGGCCAGACCCCTTCCTACAGGCACGCAGGCAGGTGCAATGCTGGCTGCCACCACGAGAGAGCAGGCTGGGCCCAGGCTTTCCCTTTACATGTGGTGGTGCAGCCGCCTGCCCTGCTCCCCTTGCACCCGGCGCCAATGTCAAGGTCGGGGTGCAGCCCCCATGTCACCGCGGGATGGAGCCACGGCTTGCGGGTCCCCTCCCAGCAGCCGAAGCACTGGGTTCGACGAAGCCCCAGCCCCGGCAACTGGCATGCAGCAAAAACCACCTTTTCCCCACAGAAGTTGGACGTGTTTATTTCCCGGAGAGGTCTGTTAATGCACCTTTCCTGACTGGTGTCCAGTGGACTACAGCACACCCCAGCTGGGGGCTGGCAAGTTTGGGGGTCAGCACGGCTCTCCGGTCCGGCCCTGCCTCGATAGGGACTCCCCACCAGGCTCCCAGGCATGAGACGGCAGGTGGACCACCGCGAGCTGACGACGGTCTGGCTGCTCTGGGCCTCGTGGAGCCGCCAGCCCCGCTGCCGTTGCTGGTGGGTGAAGCCAGGGGAGGAAGCGCTGCGCTGGGCACCAAACTGCCCCACTCCTCGGCCTCCCATCTCCATCGCCCGCCAATGCCTTCCCGACCCGAACCTCCTGTGCATTCGCCGACCCACCTAGAGCAGCTGTCCCAGGGCTGGGATGCAACGTTTAGTCCCCGCCAGCCTGCAGCACGAGCCATGTGGGCTGCCCCGTGGCCCACCCTGTCCGTGGGGCAAGCTGCGGCAGAGACGACATAAAACACGCTGACAATGCAGCTTTGCTCTGAATAGTAATCTACAAGTGGGGGCAGCGGGAGAGGCTGGCACTGCCCCGGGGAAGGCTGAATGGCGCTGCGCGAGCAGCCGGCTCTGGCGCGCGCTGGGGGCCGAGAGGCCTCTGCTTTCCAGCTCGCCGAGCTCTGCACCCACCCACCCTGCTTGGTCTGGAACCAGCGCCGAAGCCTGTGACAGTGATGGGGAAGATGCTGGGAGATGGGAAAGTGCTGGTCACTGAGGCCCGGAGCACGCGGAACGGCACTGCCAGTCTGGCGTCCCCACGTCCCGTTGCCCAGGGGTGCGTCCCAGGGGCTGCGCTGGGCTGGTGTTAGCCCCACGAGGGGCTGCGGCAGTAAATTTGGGCCTTGGCAGTCAGCTGGCCCAGGTGTCCGGGGTGCCCGATGGCATCTGCTTGTCCTCTGGTATGTGGCAAGGACCCAACCAAGTCGCTGCAAGCCGTGATGGCCGCTCCTGGCAGCCCCGCTTGGCCGCAGCTACTGGGGGAAGCTGGTGCAGACGGGGCAGGGGCCTTGTTCTGCTGCGCTGCATGGGGACAGCCGGCCCTGCTGCCCTGAGCACAGCACTTCCTGGGCTGGGCTGGCCCTGGGGCCACGTGTGAGCCACCCCGTGCCACGCCAGGCTAGGCAGGGACCCTCCTGGGCCCTGGGGCCTCATCCGGCGCGTTCTCCAGCAGCTCGTCCTCCGAGAAGCTGATGTGCAGGCAGGTCTCGTTGCCTGCGGAGAACGACGGCGTGTTGTCCGTGGCACCACCTGCACTGCTGCACTCTGTCCCTGGGCTCCCAGGTCCGGGCCCGGCCGCTGGCTGTCGGCACGGGCCAGGCGCTGGGGACGCGTGCCCGTTTTGCCCCACCCGGTCCTTGCTTGGACCCCCCTGCGAAGGGAGCTGCTCCGTGCAGGGCGCCGGCGTCCGGGTCTCAGTGCCGAGCTCAGAGCTGCGGGGGCTGGCGGGCATGGTGCTCTCCACCTCCAGGCTCGGTGAGGTCTTGCTGGACCGCTTGCGCAGGATGGGAGGGGGCGGGTTGATCTTGGGGATGGGCGGCTGTGGCCTGGGGAGACACCTGAAGCTGAGAACAGGGGACTCCCAGCCCGGCGCCCCCAGGACCTCTGCCGGGGCAGGCACTGGATGCCATGCAGTGGAGGCATCCCCTGTCTGGCTGCAGGGGTGGCCACGAGGCCTCCTCTTGCTGCCCACCCCATCCCCACGCAGGAAGCACGGCCCCGGTGCCCTGCCCTACCTGTCGTCTGCCCTGCCGCCGGGATCCTCCGCACTCTGCCTGCCTGTCCTGTTGGGCAGCACGCCGGCGCTGACCTCTGAGCCCTCCACGCTCCGGCCCAGCCTGTCCTGCGCTGCCGGGCCCTCCTCCCTGTCCTGGGGGTTTGGGTGCTGCTGGCCCTTGTCCAGGCTTAGGAGGTTGAGGTAGGACTCGCTGGTGCCCAGTGAGCTGGGGGCCACTGGGCTGCCCAGGATGCTGGCGGGGGTGGAGGTGGAGGGCAGGGCCGTCTCCAGGCTGTAGTGGTTCTTCAGGTTCAGGGACAGGTTCTGCAGGGACCGGTCGACTGCCAACACACAAGGGGAAGCCTCCGGGGTTAGCGGCTACGTGCCCCCCGGCGCCAGCGGCTACGTGCCCCCTGGCGCCAGCGCTCCGGGCCGTGCCCTCGCGGGGCTGCCCCGCGTCTCACCTGGGTGCCGGTGCCGCACCTGGACCTCCAGCTCCTTCAGCTGTTTCACCAGCAGCGAGACGTGCTGCAGCAGGTCCCGGTTGGTCAGCAGCAGCTGCCGGACCCTGGCCTGCGCCTCGATGCGGGCGGCCGTCTCGGCGGCCAGCTGGTCTTTCAGCAGCTGCACCTGGCGGGGCAGAGAGGCGGCTGCGTCCCTCCCTCCCCCCGGCTGCTTGAAGGGCTCCACGAGCCTCCCCTTACGGCAGCTCCTGGCGAGGGCCTGGCCTGGAGCAGGAGGCTCGAGGTACCTGAGCACCGAGCTGGGGGTCCCCAGGGCAGAGGTTGGGGGGGGACGCTGGGGTCTGTACCTGGGCCACGGCCACCTGGGTCTGCTGCTGCTGCTGGAGGAGCTGGTGCTGCAGCAGCTGCAGGCAGTGCTGCGAGGCCAGGGGGGTCACGGAGGCGGAGGAGCAGGGGCTGCCAGGGCTGCGTAGCTGCTGGGAGACCGACGGGCACACGGAGCAGCTCTCAGCGTCCTAGGCACAGAGACGCCCTTACCAACGGCTCTGGCCATTCCCGGCTCCCACCTGGAGCCAGGTGAGATTTAGGCCTGGGGCCGGGCGGTGCCCCGCAGGGGAGCTGGAACGGGCAGTCGATGCCAGGCTGAGCCCCTCTACAGTGCGACCCCTGGGACGTGGCGGCCGTTCAAGCCCCCGCAACAAATCCCGCTGAACCCAGGTGCTCTCAGCCCGGCGCAGCGAGGGGCAGGGTTTTTCTGAGCAGGGACAGGCCGGCTCTCAGCCAGGGCCACGCTGCCCCACCTTCACGTCCCCGTGCGGGAGCTGTGCGCTGTGTGATCGGCGGGGGATCCCGGGGGAGCACGTGGCGCTGCCCAGCTCCGCGCGAGCTGGGGCTGAGTGTGGGGTGATGCCTGCCTTTGCTACGGGCTCTCCAGGCAGCGGGGCAGGGGGTGAAGGCAGGGGGCCGCGGGTCTGGTACCCTGTGGAGCTGCCGAAGCTGCGCTCGGAGCACGGCCCCCACTCCCGCACCGTGTTACCTGGCCGTTGTGGTCCATGACAGCCAGCCCAGGCTTTGCCAGTCCCAGCTCCTTCCGGGTGGGCAGCAGCTCCCCGGGCCCCCGGTCGGAGAGGCAGATGCCGTCAGAGTCCACATCAGCCTCATCCACCTCTGCCATCTTGGCTCCCTGCATCTGCAGAGCTTCAAGCGAGGGAAGAGAGCACATGAGAGCGTCACGATGCCAGGGGGCCACGCCGACGGGCAGCAGGTGAAGGCAGCGTCTCCTGGAGGGCCCTGCTCCAGCTGGGGCAAGCAGTCTAGTGACCCGCTCTGCCCCAGGGGTCGAGGCTGCAGAGGTTTCCGCCACCACCTCCCTGCGCAGCCTCAGGTGGACTCCTTTGCCCCGAGAGGCTCAGCTGCAAGCGGTGACCCCCTGCGATGTTTGCACAGCGCTCTTACGGGTGCAAGCATCTGGGGCAGCCTGGCCCGAGGCTGTGTCCCCGAGGCTCCCGTCCCAAGCCCCGGCCCCGTCTAGGAGCGCTGCGCGCAGGGCTCACCTTCCAGCGGCTGCTCCTCCGACTTGTCGCTGGCGCCGTCCGCCTGGCCGTCGGCGTTCTGGAGCGTGTGCTGCAGGCTCAGCTTGTGGCACACCTCAAAAGCCTGGCCCACCGTCCGCACCACCCGCATGGCTTGGCTCTGCGGGGCGAGACCAGGGGGCAGATGTCTGTGGGACGGGGCTGGCTGGCATGGGGTCCTGGTCCCATCCACCTTGCCGTGGAGGAGATGCTGGGGAGCCCAGGCAGGCAGCAGTCTGACATGCATTGCCGCGTGCAGCTGCTGCCCTGCGGCCTGCTGACGGCTGGGAGGTGGCATGCAGGGTTGTGCACACCAGCTGGACTCCCCAGCTGCTTGCTCGCACTGGCGGGGATGGGGTCTAGACTATGCCTCCATCTCTGGGCAGTCGGGACGAGTCCTCGGCAGACTTTTCCCCTTAGCTCTGCCCCGTGCTGCTTCGGGGTGGGGGACCCTCTCCTGCACCCTGCCCACGGGCCCATACCCCTACCACACTCCTGGCAACATGCACCTTCTTCTTGGACTTGAAGACGTTGCACCTGAAGGAGTTGTTGGCACTGTCCCTCGCAATGTAGCTGAAGATCTTCAGGTCCTGTGAGTCGTGCGACACGTAGAAGATCCTAGGAGAGACGGGCACAGCACAAATGAGCAAGAGCCCACTGAAAAAGCTTATTGAGCCAGCGAGGGCTGCGATGGCTCTGACTGCAGGACACGCAGGCGTTTTGTGGCATCCCATGGGAGGGGAGGCTGCGTGCTGCTCTCCCGATCACGGGCAGAAATGCCCGGCTCGTCTAATCTTCGCAGTCACGAGCCCCTAGCCGTTCCCCTGCTCATCTCGGTCCCCTGCTTTGCCGGGCCAAGGATAAGACAGCCAGATCTGAGAGCAGCAGCCCGTCCGCTGCGCGGCTGGACGAGGCAGGGTCCAGGGAAAGGACCCCCTGCCTCAGGGGCAGCTCAGCGGAGGGGCTTTCCAAGCAGCCTCGCGAGGGCACGGAGAGCTGCGTTTGCAGAGCGAGTTGATTCCTATCCTAGCTCAAGACGCGGCGAAGAGCAGAGAGAAGCAGCCTGTAGCACGGGCCCATTATCATCAGCGACAGGCAGATGGTGCAGCACAAAAGGCAGCTTCCCTCTGCTACAGCAACCGAGGCGGGTGAATTGGCTCCATGGCCCATCCACAGCTCAAAAGATTTTCATCCTCCCCAGGGGCCTGGCTCTGCTGCACAGATCTTTTCTTTTTTACCTTTTATTCCAGGCAGCTTGTTTTATGTGGTGGAAAATGGGCCGGTGCCTTTCCGCTCTGCATGCGGAGGGAACCGGAGGCACAGATTTGCATCTTTACCTTTCTTTCCTCTGCCTCCGCACGTCATTTTGAAATTTCAAATCGGGACAATTATCAAAAGCGCTTCCCTGGATCCTGTCACAAGCACCTCTTCCACGGTGATTATTTTAGGAACAATCCAGCGTGTTGCTAGAGAATCTAGTGAAATTACCCTCTTTGCCTGGCAAACAGCCTGGTAGCGCTGAAGAGCGTCAGGAGAGAGGTAAAAATGCAGCAGCATGTTCCCTTGGGACCTCTTCCTGGGCTGAAAACGCAGGGCATCCTGCCTTGTGCTTTTGCAATTCCCGGCTAGCAGATCTGTTGGCCTGGACCACCCCAGAGCCCTCGGAAAGGAGGTCTGCTTGGTGGTTTGCCACCAATTTCTGGGCCCTAAACCCCGCTGCTCCCTCGCTGCCTCCCCTGGTCTTTCTTCCTCCACACCGCTGTAGTGCCCCAAACACCTTTCCTTACAGACCGCCAGGCCCCAAAACCTGTCTGCTTTGCCTGGCTGCGCTTAGGGGCACGGTCTCATGGGACCTCTGCTGTCAGAAAAGCCACCCGGGAAGCAGGCGCCCTGCACGGCGCTCCCAGCTCCCTTGCTGATCTGCTGCCCACCTGCCCCGCTGCGGTGCTAGAAGTGGGGCTCACAGCTGCAGGGTGCCGGGAGCGCCTGGATGCACACCGAGAAAGGGCAGGGCGGTTTGGGAGCCCGAGATGGGTCGGCACCTTCTGCCCGCAGAGCCCTGCCACAGGTCCCGCTAGCAAGGAGAGCGGCTGTGTCTTTCTCCAGGTGAACAAGATCAAGGGGGAGTCTGGGCTGGGAGGCAACCAGCGGAGGAGTTTCCTCCTGGATAGCAGGGAAGGCCGGCAGTTTTCACCTCTCAGCCCCGGGCGCTTCTCGCCTGCACTTATAACGGGGGGCTTGCTTTCAGGTAGGTTGAGCTAAGCGATGCGACGGGTCCTTTAGGAAGCAGGAATCCAGCAGCGATGTTTGTGTTGCCGAGGCCCGCCGAGCGGGCGGCACGTCAGCCTGCAGGAGCCCGGCTGCAGGCGGTCGGAGATGTGATTAATTGCCTCGGGCGCAGACCCTGGGCCACGTACCTGTAGACAGGGTCGTGCATCACCAGCATCTTACTCTCGTCCCAGCTCCATTCCTTCCTCTGCAAAGAAGAGGAGAGGGGGCATAAAACACCGCAAAAGCTGGATGCCAACCCCTGCCGGTGCCCGGGAGGCGCACAGAGTCCTACCTTCTGCTTCTTGCGCAGGATCACCTTCACCCCATCCACGGAGACGACGAGGCTGACCTTTTTCTTCTTGATGTTCTTTGCTTTGAATTCATACTACGAAGGGGAGAGAGATCGGGGTGAGCGGAGGTGGGAAGTCTGCAGGTCCCCCCTGGCGAGAGACCCCCCCCCCCCCCACC